CATGGGCTGGACCCACACCGGAGAGTCCTATGAGCTGCTCCTTGGGTTTGCTGTGCCACGGGAAGCTGGTTGTGAGCATCAGTCCTGCATTGCAAGGGGCCCCTCGTTCTCTGGGAAGCTGCAGGGCACAGATCTGCACTTTTCCGTGGTGGCTTTGAGGTTTTAAATGCGGCTTCCATCAGCATATCACACCCCAAAATTCCTGGTCCCAATCCCCAGCCTTTTTGGGGCAGAAAACTGCAAAAGAACGCAAAGCAGGGCCAGGCCTATTGCGCTGGGCCTGGTCAAGGCAACAAGAGGGCATCAGGCCATTCTGCGCTGAGGCTTGAACGAAAAAGCAAAAGAGAGTCAGGCTTATTTTGCACTGGACTAAACAACAAACTGTGCCAGGTCTTACCCTGGTCCAAAATGCGCCAGGTTTTTAATCCTGGCTCGAATGCACTAGCAAAAGTGCCAGGCTCCAACCCTGGTTAGCATGTCCCAGGGTATCCTCTGACTTAAAACTCAGAAAAAAGCAAAAGGGGGAAAACAAGGGACAAGGCTGAGTCTCAAACTTTGAGATAGGCAGACGAGGTTCTTTGGGTGAATCTGATAGTTTCTATTAGACCAACTTAAATAGTTGGAAAAACGTGTTTTGAGCAAGCGTTGAGATAGACTCTCTTTCCCATTATCTTGGATTTCCCCTTCACATGGCTCCAGCTCGCTTCCCTTTACATATCTGGTGTGACATCACCCAAGCTTTTCCAATCAGGGCTTTCCCAGCTTCCAGTTGTTTCCTCTTAACCAATTCATTAAAAAAAAACAAAAAAACCCCCCTAATGCTGCTGAGTTAGCCAATTAAGCTAGAGATCTAATCCCCCTTTGCTTATGGGACTTATCTTTGTGCTCTTTTATTGACAAAAACCCAGCAGGGTGCATCCCGAGACAATAGACCCAACCAAGGGGGCTTTCCTGCCTAGCGCAGACAGCCCTGCTTCTTGCCAGATTACAAGCAGAGATGAGAAAAGACATGGTAGACATAATCAAGCACAGCACATATAAAGCCTAGTCATATTTAAACTAAGACACATTCTGCAGTTCAAAGTGGCTTGGACATTTTGCGTGAGGTACAAATGTTAAGCAAATGCATGTTTGAATGGAGGGAGAGCAAGAGTACAGAAACGTGCACTTTTCCCACTGCACTTAACAGGGCCCTACCCCGACGCAGTGGGTTTTAACAAACACCACTTCTGTTTAGAGCTGATTAAACTAAAGCTCCTCAAGACATTTAAGGCACATTACGCTGCTGAATTTCCTACAGTGGCTGGAATGAATGCGCAATACACTGCCGAGGCATGCAAACACCGACACCATTAAAGCAGGGCAAAAGCATTTAGCTAATTTTAAAGTGTCATGCATACACGCCTCTTGTTTTGTCAACACACGGCTTGGCCCCCTTTTTTGAACACTTCTAGCATTCTCTTGGATATGGGAGCAAAGCTGAAAATTCGCAAGGAAAGAAACCTTGTGGGAAAATAAACGCTTTTCAGTACGAAAGAAATTAGTTTTGAGCTCAGCTGAGTTACGAACCTGTCAGAAGTTCATTAACAGCATTAGAAGAGTTTTTAATGCGCCGAAGCCAGGTGTCTTGTGCTATGCATGCCTTCCTGGCCGGTCTCTAGCTATGCACTCACAATCGTATCCAAGATTTGTCTGTTGGGGGTACAGTTTGCCCCCATGCAAAAGCCCAACGCAAAACCTATCCTTCACTTGAATCCTGCAGAGCACATGACAGTATTGTTAAGCTACTCATAGACCTTTTATTAGCTTTCCAAATAGAGTTGAATTTCAAACCGGAGAAGGCAGAACTCAAAAGACTGCATAAGTATGTAGCCTAAGGGAGTCAAATGAGTTTTTACATCATGTCAGTCACCATGGGGTCTGAATTGTTCAGGAAATGTGACAACTTCAAGGTTGCCTGTACAACTTTAACACTGCCTACTTATGTATTATCAGGTGGTCCTTAATTACATAGTCACTCTTCTTGTGTGGAGCCCCTGCATCATTTGCTGCATAGATTGGGCAGTACACAAAAAATTAAGCAGCTTTTAAATTTAAATTTTATTTTTATCTTCATTGTTCAATAAAAGGTTTCTGCCTCTGTTACAACATGCTATTTACCCAATCCTCTGGGAGGGAAAGGGTCTGTTTTCAGTGCAGAGGTGAGCTCTGCTGTTTAATGGAGAATGCATGTGAAGTCCAGCTTCCCTGATGTCAGCCTATGCAGGATAGTTTTGTCGTGTCTGGTTTGATGGGGTGGATGTTCAGAGGTGATGTTACCTACTTCACAAAATGTTCTCCCTGTCGGCAGGAGAGCTTTTAGAAGGTGAAGCTGGTAGAGAAGGTGTGTCCAGAAGTCAAATTTCATTATCTGATGTTGGAACGGAAGAATTCCTCCAGAAACTCACCTCCCAGATCACAGAAATAGTGTCTGCAAAAATAAGTCAGGGTAAGTTAGCATCTGGCAAATGTGTTTTAATTTACTATACAAAGCAAGGCAATTGATCCTCCGGTTTCATGCGAGTTTAAGTCTCATTGGGCATATCTACACATTCATTAATGCACTTTGGCTAATGCACATTAAATTTAGTACCTCCATTGTGAGGTACTAGAAAAAGGCGCATCAGCGTATTTTAACGTGCATTAGTGAAACCACAGGGTTTTTTGTGATGCTTTAATGCACATTAAAATAGGCTAATGCACATTAAAGCACAGGTGTGGGTGTGCCCATTGTGTGCTACAAAACAAGCCAGGTTTGAAGAAAATCAGTTTAGCAGTTTTTCATTGGAAAATGTCTAGCTTGCAGCTAGAAATCATCCAGGCCTCCAATACTTGGGCCAGAGTTTTGACTGATAAAAATCATTCCTTCAATGAAATGAGTGTGCAAGTTTCTGTCATTAGACATCTGCTTACTGTATCTAATTTGCCGACTGAAAAATCACGTAGTTATTTAGCCACTGATTCTTCGGGCCTGCAGTGCAGAAGCCAAAAAATGGGAGCAGTTTGCTGCTGGTATAAAATTGCACTGAGCTACAGTCATATGCTGTTTCATAAGCATATCTTGTAGCGATAATGTTAATGACTATCAAGCCTATTTGCGTTTAACTAGAGGCTGGGTCTTCTATAGTCATATTGCTCCTCCAGTGATTTGAATTTACAGAGAAGATAAAGGCTTGTGACTGGTGTCTGCACCGTTCTGCATCCCTCCTGAAGCAAATAATGTTCTTTTGTGGCTTTAAAATGTCCAATTTGCATAGACCGTCCTACTAAAAGGACATCATGATGCATGTTATCAGTGGTCTTTTCTGAAGACACTTAATTCTATGAAGATCAAGCATTGAATCCTATTTGATAATCTTAATTTAACTTGTGTGCCCCTTTCTCTTTTCAGCCACGCTTCGTGTACCTGGGGCAGACAGTGATGACGAGTCCAAGACCCCGTCACCATCTCCGCGTCACGGCAGGTCCAGACCTTCGTCGATCGCTCAGGAATCCTCTTCTGAATCTGAAGACGGGGATGCAAGAGGGGAGGTACTCCACGTGAATCGACTTCACAAAGTGTTTGCTGCCAGAAATGTCTGTCTAGGCTGATTACTCCCACCTCTACTCTGTTTTAAAGATTGCCACCTTAAAAAGACTTGTAGAGTTACACATATATGGAGAGCCTGAGAGGCCTCTCACCGGAGCACAGGCCCGTCAATTAAAGTTTAGGTCCGACTCTCGCTGCATGGCTGTCCAGACCCGGCTCAGCTCAGCATTTCCAAATGGTTCCTCTTCATTTTGAATGCATCAAGTCTTTCCAAATTCAATGCATCCAAACCTTGATGTTTTAAGGCACTGAGGCACGCCTTTTGGAAATGTTTCTCGTTGAAATGCTTTGTCCGTGAAAAATGCCGTTTTTGTTTAAATGAAAATGTTTTGAAAAATATATTGATTTAAAAAAAAAA